GGCGGTCTTCCTACGGGTGGTCTTCCTACAGGCGGTCTCCCTACGGGTGGTCTTCCTACGGGCGGTCTCCCTACGGGTGGTCTTCCTACAGGCGGCCTCCCTACGGGCGGTCTCCCTTCAGGCGGTCTCCCCACAGACGGTCTCTCGAGGTCGATTACATCAGCAAACGTGTGTCTTACACGACTTCCTGCTGCTGTTCGTCAAGCGGTCTTCAGCGCTTGCTTCTCTTAAGCGGGCGTGCCCAATTGAAGCATCAGCTCCATGCTGCGCTGGAAGTATGTCTTACACGACTTCCTGCTACTATTCGCCAGGCTGTCATCAGCGCTTACCTCTCTTCATCTGGCGTGCCCAGTTGAAGCATTAGCTCCGTACTGCGTTAGGTCCGTGGGCGTTTCTGATCGAGCGTCTTGTGTGTCTCCTTTCTTTCTTTGTTGGTACCCCGTCAAGGCTACATGAGTAGCAGTGCCCAAAATAAGCTCCATAGTCATTCAATCCAAACCCTGTGTTGTCATTACATGCCCGCACTGTGCGTAGCTGCCACCTCCCAACGAACTCCTACTCCACACCAGTACATTGCCCAACCCGTCTGCTCTGATTGACATCTGTCATCCCTCGAATAATATGAAGCCTGGGCCCTTGGCCTGCACACAGATTCGCGAGGCAGTTGAGGTCTGTTCTTGAAGCATACGAGGAAATATCTGTAGCCTGATGCTTTACAAAGTACTAGGTCAAAAGTTCCTTCCACACTTTCAAAACTCCACTAAGCCTCACCAAAAATCTATAGCTTACCATGATTGCCGCTGCTTACTATAATCTACTGCCACACACTGTCACCGTAGAGTTCAGTATTACACCCAATTGACGACGCTGAAGAAGACTCACCCCATGTCTTCCTCTACAAGTAAATTCCCCATTGACTCAAATCGGAACTGGATACGACAGTGATTAATTCCATTCTCGCAGACTCAAAAATCCAACATGACACATAACAACTTACCCTTTGGCCTTCGGGAAGGAAAAGCAGTGACGAAATGCTATGCTCGTGGCGAAGCCGGCTTACTGCATCTAGACTCCCGGCATGTCCTGCCCTGGACAACGAAAAGTTGAAGAAGTGCGTAGATTCTATTCCTCCGCTCGCAAAACTGACTCCTGGTGGCCCTCACACCCGCAGCGACGCTGTCACACTTGCCGTCAAACGCGCATCTATATGTTGCTAAGTCCTCCATCATGTCCGCATAGCCAGGACCCAGACATGCACAGGCACATTTCCAACCACAACCCACCTCAGACCCAGAGCAAATGCGCAGGATCGCCACGTCACGCACTGCTCTGGACTTCGAGTTGTGACATCCACAGGCACATTTCCAACCACTCATCACCTCAGCGAAGCAGACTCACAAGATTATCATCCCACACTGATCTCCTTCGCGTCGTGGCGAGCCGTGTACCTCTCGCGACGCGACCGAAACCGCTCGACACCTGTGTCGAACCAAGTCACCCTGCTCGAGCGGGGTGAAAAAAGTACTAGACACCATCTGCAGTCTACGCTGTGTGAAAGCGGAACGCCTGACTGGCACGGGTTTAATGAGTGCTGGCGAAGGCATGGGGTACATGGTCCAAGCCTTTTGATGGCGTGGGCAGACGGAGAGAAGGATTTGCAAGAGTGCAGCCCGGATGCTGGACGCAACGCGACGGATGGGGATATAGGGGGGGAGGGTTTCAGATCAAGCACGACGAATTGGGGAAGATGTGTGTCATAAAAGGTGTGCATATCGAGATAGATAAACGGGTGCTGTAAATGCCAAGATCCGCCTGAGCCTCGTGCAGACAAGGCCCGCAGGCAAGTCATAGAGTCCGCGGGTGTCCGAACGCCGGTGGGTATCCAAAAAAGAAGAAAGACGGTGCATTCCTAGCCCAGCCCTCGTCCTCTGCCGCGCCCTCTCCCGCTCGCCGTCCTGGCCATTGGCACGGTGCCGCCATACCCTGTGCTTGCCTCGCCGGACCTGCCGAGTGGTGTGTTGTTCCCAGCGTCACTGTATCCGGCCATGCTGCTCTGCGCACTCATGGGCACGCCGCCCGTGCCGACCTCGAGATGTGGAACGAGCGTTCGGACGTGGGATGTGATCTCGTTGACGGGTTCTGTGAACCCTGGAGGTTGTACTTGGTAGTCCCTCATCTTGACTGGCTGGCACGCGGCTTGCAGGAGTCGCTCGTTCAGCTCGTCGTCTGGCCGGGCTTCCCTCAGCATCAGCTTGAGATCCTGGTCGACGTCTTGTGGGGCGAGTGGTGGTGGTGTGGGCGCCGAGGCGTTGACCTTTTGGAAGATCTTCTGGTCGAGGACGAACGGTGGGTTGTATATAAATGGTATCTGGCCGTTCGTGATCGAGGTGGTGGAGCGGGTGGCGCCGCGAGTTGCATGTGGGTTCGAGGAGACCTGGCGAGCCATGTCTACTGCGCCGGGGACTTCGTCAGAGTCCTGGTCTGCGTCCGGCAGATCGCCATTCTCGGAAGCGTGGTCGCCGTTCGTGTGCGCATGGCCGTTGGCTGTGGCCTCGGCGTTGGTGGGCTCGTTGGTCTTCATCTTGGCGAAAAAGTGCGAGGCTGCGTTCGTCGCGTTCGTCATGGCCATGTTGAGTTCCTTCTCGGTGAAGAGGCGATCGAGCGAGTAGGCCGAGGCCTCGAACTGCATGTGCATAGTGCGCGCCTTGGCTTCGCGGAAAGGCGAGGCGTTGCCCATCTCGACGGGGCGGCCAGAGGGTCCAGGCGAGTCAATATCGTTCTCGTCAAACAGCTTACGCTTGCGAGACTTCTCTGCGGCAGCTGCGGCCTCGTCGACTTCGCCGCCAAATTTTTGTCCGGTCCGTCGTGTCTTGCGCGGTGCTTGGGGGCCGCCAGGGCTGGCGGGGTGCCCGATGCTGAACTGGTTGGGGTGCAGAAGCATGGCGTTGCTGTCTGAGATGTCGAGCTGCTCCTTCTCGCGCTTCAGCCTGTTCGAGCGCTGCTGTATGCTGGCCTTGAGGCGCTCGCGGATCGTCTCTGCAAGGGCCTTGTGCTCTTCCTCGGCGATCTTGACTTTGTAGTGGTGCGCGTTCTCGATGTCGATGTTGCTGTTCTCATGCTTGTTCTGCCAGCGCTGTTAGCTTCTGTGCGCCGCAGACGCGTGCCCACCGGCTTACATAGAGCATCGTGAGGTTGTAGTCGCGCTCCTCCATGGCGTCGTTGACGGCGTCCACGAAGCGCGAGTAGTGTTTCCCGCACTGCGCGACGTAGTCGGTGCCGGCGCTGGGAGCGGTGGGGACGTTGCTGCCCATGATCTGTGCGATCAGCTCCGAGGCCTCTTGCCCATTGTCCTCCAGCGGCTCGTTCTTGTAGGGATCGGCCTTCATGATGAGGTTGATGTCGGCCTGCAGCGCCGCAAGCTGGGCTCGGTAGTGACTGTCGCGGTTGTCTGAGAAGGTCGCCATCATCTCAGAGAGCTTCTCGGCCAGCATGTTGCGCCGCTTGTCGCGCTTCGAAGGCTGCGGCTGTGGGGAATTCGCTGCATGGCCGAGCGGGAACTTGTCCGCCGGTGCTGGGCTGCCATTGCGAACCATGGCGCTGGTGGGGAGCGGGTAGAGAGTTTGCTGCGCTGTTCACAACGGCGCGCCTGGCTCGAGGGCTGCGTCAGGTGCGGCAAGCCGGCGCAGGCTTCGGCGCAAATACTCCGGTCGGGGGCGTGGCAGGAAACAGGAATAATGACTGGATTCTGGAATCTGCAATCTGATGCACGTGCGAACTGCCGGCGCTTGGCTTCTGTGCCGCTACAGTGCAGGGAACATGTGAAGTGTACTTGCGAACATGTGAGGTGTACTTGCGAACTCGATTTGCAAGAGCGATTGAACTGCAGCATCACGGCAGGGACGAACGACCATTTGGTTAGCGCGCTTTCCCATTCGCCGACCGCCGATGTCGCCTTGGCGTCCGCTATCGTATCGTGCATCTCCAGTTAATACCAATCGGTGCCAGTGATACACAGCCTTGCTCTCGAGGTACAAGTGTAAACATAGCATATTGGTGGCCTGACTACGTCATGTACAGCCGCCCACCGAAAGTGAGAACGGCTCACCGGTGTAAGAGACCTTTGAATGACTGCCCATTCGCGTTCACACTGCAGAAAAATGGTCCTAGAGGTGCCATAACGTCCTGCTGCTTCGCCTACACAAACGACAGCTACGTGTCGACCTGCGACAGCGGCCCAGCACCAGCGAGCTGCTACTACTACTGCTCGCTATCGTAGATCGGCGACGGTCGGTGGGTTTGAGAATCCGAGATTAGGGGTTTGGAGGTCAGTTGTGCTTGAGTTGGCGTTCTTTGGGGCCGTGGCCGGGGCGCTATGACAGTCTGGTCGAAGCACATCGTCTCTGTGTTGAGTGAAGGCGCGGTCGACAAGCGGTGGGCCTGTACAATACCAGTAAATCGTATGCCTGGCGTCAGGCACTGTTATAAACGCAATGAATCGATTGATACTTTTGGTGAAGCTATCCCATCCATATTTCATTCTTCCGCTCTGGCGACTGTTTCCCTGGCCCACCATCTTCTCCCTGCAGGATGAACATCTCTGTGCTCGCGTTACTAATCGCGCTAAGCTCCCTTGAAGTGTTCCGGCTTCTCCGGAAACCGCTTCCGCTCGGTCCTCGTGCCGCGATGGCAGGTGGTGCCGGGCGCATTGGCAGCGGCTTGTTCATGTCCGTGCTACCCCATCTGGAGCTGTGACGTGATGTCGAGCGTGGAAGGTGCGGCTGAGCTGTGATTGTAGTCGTAAAAGTGTTTTGTGTGGCATGCGATGGTGAGCGGTGGTGATTCGGTGTGCGCGCGTTGGCAGTGCGCGTGGTTGTGAGGGAAGTCGAACGACTCAAGGTTGAAATTCGCGGACTCAAGGTTGGGACTACGGACTTTTGGGTTTGTTTCGATGAGGACCGCTGGAGGGTTGTTGGTTGCGAAGTGATGCTAACATCGGTGTTTTTCAAGTTGGTCATCCGCATTGAGTCGCTTCTGAGTGATTCTGTGGGTAAGGTGGACTCCTCGTCATCAGTTTGCTTCGAGTAATTGGGCTGCCACCGGCGCGGGTAGCTTTGTGAACCGTTGTTTGTGGCTTCAAAATAGCGAGGGAACAGTTTGTTCATCAGTGGCTTGCACCCTGGTAGGCAGCCACATACAATGCCGATCCCACCTTCAACACACATGATGATGAAGGTCTTAGCACCCTGCCCTACTGCTGTTAGCTTGCGCAAAGTATGCTTTGATCGATTTCGGTTGACCCACAGAACACATCGTACGAGTTCAGGTACATGTGAGTGTAGTAGACACGGGCGACTCCCGCTCCACATACTCTAGTACGCGGTCAGCAAGTGTACGGCGCAGATGAAAGCTTCGAATCTTACACAACACCTAGAGAGAACATGCATGTTAAAGTGACGCGCTGACGGAGTGACGCCCTGACGCTTAGAAGGTCCCTGGCTGGCCACAGGAAGATGAGAAAGTCGCTGAGAGTGTTCTGTCCTGAATGGAAGTAGTAGATTGCCTTGATGTTCAAGCACTTGGCCCGACCCATATATTTAAAGATGTTCCAGTAGGTGCTGACTGGTCTTTGTTATGTGTCAGTCTTGTTCGTGAAAGATACCATCAGTACTTACGCGCATTGGAACAGGGTGACAAAGAAGCAGGCTGTATTCAGCGAGATCGTGTAGAACAGCATGATGTAGCAGAAGTGTTTGTTCAGTCGCGAAGGAAAGATACCTTGTTGTTGTAAGTGCTTTACTCGAGTAGCTTCACTTGTTCACTTACGCAGATATGTTAAGAGTATGGCAGTTTTCATGAGGGTTATGAGTACCGTGAAAAGCAGTTGCGAGGCCATTCCCATCTGGTGTTCTGTGAGCTGGATTATCGATTTGATCGTGGCGACATAATTACCTGAGCAGATTTCAAGGTACCAAATAATATTTGCGGCGGGACATCCCCTTGAAATGATCAGCGGTCACCCGCCAAGGTACAGTGTATTTGCGTACAGAGATGATAGCCCATTCGATATTGTGGGAACATCGAAGCAATAACCATAATATTGTTCCCGACCGAGATAATCTGCTAATTCAGCAAGTAGCGCTGTCATGAAGTGAACCGGAACTTACAGCTGCAAGAAGCATGATGCCATCGTCCCAGCCAAGCGTTTTCGTCAACACTGTGCGACTGTAGAAGCGACATGAGATGAAGATGACGACTAATGTCGTTACGGGCGTAATAATGCCAATGGCCAACGGTCGCAGGGTGTGGGGATTGACATAATTGGGCGTAGGAAAAGATAGTATCTCCGCCGGTGTGGGAAACCTCGAAGTCATTCTGACGCGACACAGGGTCGAAGTCCTGAGGTTGCAAGCCGCTCTGTTACATAGGAGAGGGCCTGACAAGCGTGCAAGGACATCCATGCTTGTAGTAATACTGTCCTGTACAGGGTGGCTGGCGCTAGAGGTATGCCCAAATCGCCAGTACGGGCGGGACAGTCATGCAGGGTGAGCCACACCACGCCCTCACCTTCTCGAAAAGGCGTCAGTCCCGGGAAACGCATGGTCCACGGGCATGTCTTCCGTAGATCGCGGCAGCGAGCTTGCGCATGTAGTTCAGTGTATGCTTTTCATCGTCTTCTCTTGATGTTGTAGTTGTAGAGCGCGTCTTGATGATGGAGCTTGGGCAGGTGCACGGCACAGTAGCCCTGCGCTGTTAGCACACGGCTGAAATATTGAGGTGCGTGATACTCATTTCGGCTGTTGCGATGGAGAAACAAGTGAAGACTTCGGCTCTGTACGGGAACCGATACCACGGCTCTGACATCCAGGCATATCCCCGTCCAGACAACGACTGCCGGCATGTCACCCACATGGCCGCACGGGCGTCGGTTGTAGCACACCTTGTGGCGATTCGGGAGTCTCCGCTTGGTAATCGATCCTTGCCTCATCGTGTCCTTCGCCGAACAGTGCGCCGTTCGGTATGCCTGCGCAATACTGTATAAACTCGCTATAAGCAAATCACAGGCATCGGAACAAGCATTGTAGTGTTGGGACATGGCATGTCGAATGCGAAACGTACATGAAGTGGGCCAGCGCAGGAGTCGAGCGCTGACGGCACTCCAAAACGTGAGCCGCGTCCGGAGAGGCCAACTAGGAGCGAATCAATATCGGAACGTATGGAGCGTGCAGACAGCCACGGCCCCGGAACGGCTGGCTGTGAGAGGTGAGGCGGGCTCGCCCGCTCGCCATGTGAAACCCACCTTCCCAATAAGAGCCAGTCGCGCAAGGGTCATTCCCAACTACCTCTTGCCACTTACGATTGCATCCCAGGCAATATACATCTCAACGAGACATTCAGCTCGAGTCATGATTGTATGGGGTATCAACTCCGGAATGTCACTGCTGGATTTGCTTTTCCGGCAAATCCTCCGCACGCTGCACGGCGCATTGTGTCTGATGGGTACATCTGGGAAGACCCCTCACCCCAAAGCCTCACCCTAAAGTAGTTCGAATGGCCATGAAAGCAGTGTTAGTTGAAGGACAATCTGCACGAAGAGCTTGCCGTCGATAGATATTAGAAGGGGAGGTCACGCCCGCGCTACGTCAAAAATGGAAGAACCCACGAGGGATCGAGACCACCTAGGAAATTGATTACGTTCCAGTACTCGCGACTAATAGGGCTCTTGCTTCGCTGCTGATTGACAAGGACCAGTCTTAGAGTCGAAAGATTCAGGAGGTGCTGCCGATTCGAGCACGATCAATTTAAGAATGCCGGTGTTTTATAGCTCGACGCGTAAGTCCATGAGCTTGTGGTGAAGACCTTTCTTCCGAGCGCATACCTCGTAGTGAGGTAACACTTGAAGCAGAGTGACATGACATGTTGGTTGCGTCTGTCGATGAAGAGAAAAGAGGAAGTCGCGATGCAACGCGAGGGCTTCTACGCCATCTTGGCTCCGAGGCCCGCCCGTGCGGGCTCGCACTTGCGCCCCTCGTCACCATCGTCCTGGGTCCGCCTTGATGCCAGCGGCGTCGAACAGCATCGTCAACTTCCCATTGATACTATTTCGCATCGAATCACTCTGCAGGCGCAAGGTATGTTAAAGCTTCTCTGTTTGTTTGCGTTACCTATCTAGAACACTGTCGGTCACATCCGTCGCGGCTGCACACAGTATTGCGCCCTGGGCACGGTCCATCTCTCTAGCAACCGTCATATCCACCGTCGATATCTGTTTCTATCCTATTTTCAACGAGTTTGGATACGAACATGCCAGATTTGATCTTGTTCGCGTTGTGTAACGATACTTTTGCTATGGATTAGTGTCGCAGCCAAAGTGGAGGCAAAATGTACATACATTAGCACACCTGAATTGGCTGGTAAATAGTCATGATATCTGCTGCAACAATTAGGACTCCTCCTTAGCTTTCCTGGCGGTTGACACGCGATTTTGAATGTTCCTTTACGGCCGTGCCAACAGCCTGGCAAATTGTTGATGCACCTTCCATTACCAGAGAGGTATTTTGCCGGTGACGACTCTCGATGGACCAGGGACACGACAGGGTGTTCATGTAAATGCAGCAGCAAAGCTCGTTGCAGTCCCCTTTATCCCAGACTTACATAGCCAGATATGGTCGAAGAACGCGACCGAGTGCGCTTCCCGGCTTACCAACTCCCCCGCAAACAGTAGCGACGACTTCGTCAAAAGCCCAGGATGCCAATTTCAAAGAGGTCGGAGCGAGGTTGGGCCACATAAAGTAGCCGTACGCCTCTCTTAATCTTAACAAGTCGTCACTGAGCAGCCACATCTTCTGTATCTGAAGCCATACATACCGTGCGGCTTACGAGCCATTAACGAAGAAGCGCTGGAGAACATTCCAATGCATACACATCAAGATTCGCAGGCGAAGACTTCCTTGCTCATCAGCGCAATCTGGACTACGACCGGCTTGGCGCGGTCTTGTTCCAAATTATAGACCTGGCAGAGCAGTCTTACGGACAATACTTTGCACGCCTTTTGCAGCAGGAATGGGCAGCGAAGTAGCAGAACCAACACTACGCTCTGTTTGCGGTATCGTTGCAAGCTGTATCGATGCCTGATCTCACACGTATTAGGGCTCTGGCAATTCCTGGACAGCGAGAAGACAATCTGCTCATTGAGATGGGGGATATGTACCCTTCAGGCCCGTCAGCTATGGGTCGACTGGGCTGACCACCCCACTCGAAAGCACACATAGACTAGAAAGCAACACAACGCTTCTGTCTATAGTGTAGGCATAATTCGTGAGACTGTCTTCCTGACAATAGATAGTCTACAGTATCTCACGCCATACTACGACCAGAACGTTTTGCCCATGGTCATGAATGTTGTCTTCCCGCTAGAGCAGAGGATTCTGCAGAGTCGACGCCATGCGGGTTCCTCCGTCAGCGATAATCTCAAGGCTTGCGGACAGTCCTCAACCGGCTTCGATGATCTGTCTGGATCTTCATTTGATGGTGAACAGAGCCGACACCCTCAGCTTAAATTCAAGGCCAGGAACAGACTGGATTCGCAGAATAATAACCCCGACCGGACACGACAACGGACACCTTCAAACTAATTTGAGGAGCGTCCCTCATTGCGCTCTGTTCGACCGTACCGTCATCTACGAGCAAGCACAGGCTGTGAACTCGGTCTGCACAACTGGCTACGGTACACTGCCTTACCCGATATCTGGCCCACCAGGCAACGGAAAAACGAAGATGCTGGTGGAAATAGCCATGCAGCTACTGAATATCACGAACGTAGCTCACTTGCTGGTGTGCGCGCCTTCTGACGCTGCTGCAGATACTCTTGCGATGAGGTTGAGGCGGTACCTGACTCCAAAGCAGCTCCTGCGTCTCAATGAACCGAACCGGGCAAACAACGAAGTCCCTCACGAGCTGCTGCAATATTGCTACATCCAAGACGACATTTTCTATTTGCCACCCTCCAAGACACTGCTGGCTTCCAGTGTAGTGGTCACGTCATGTCGCGATGCAAACTACCATACTATCAGAAGCTCGGTTCACGACTGAGCTGTAGGACGTGAATGTCGGGCCGGTGGGGACGTTCCAGGGTTGGAGAGGAGGGTCGTGATTCTTTGTACGACAAGGATGAGGATGAGGTTCGTCGACGAAGACGTCGACCGGGGCATGGGGTTGGTACATCGGCAGAGGAAGATGAATGTTGCGCTGACGCGGGCGAAGGAGGGATTTTTCGTGATTGGTAGCCCGAAAGTGATGGGTGTGGAAGAGTGTTGGAGGGCTTGGATGGCGTTCCGTGAGAGGAATGGATTCGTGGATGATCAGTTTGAGGTGTAGAGGGATCGAGAGGATTTCAGGGGTAGGAGAGTTGGGTTTTAGAACGATTGCTGATTGCTAAGGAGTGGAGGATGCGCGAGGGACAGTGGTCGGCGCTTGGTGCTGCGACTGATGGAGGCGAGTATGAGGCGTGGAGTGAGAGCTTGCGGCAGATACTTGAGGAAGAGCATGAGGGGAATGAGGAGAACGAGGAGGTGGAAACCGATGAGGAAGACGAGGCTCCAACGCCCGAAACAGTCAATGCCAAAAGAAATATCGCTTAGAGAGTATCAAATATACAACACACTTAGCCTACATGGCGAAATTGGCTTGAGTAATGGCAGAGGTTGCGTGGGTAGCGGTCAACTACAAAGCACAGCGTGCCAGAATCCCCACCATACGATTCGCAGCACTACCGCTCCAACGACAACCCCGTCACCACACCATCGACCCGACAAAAACAAGGCAGACACAGTCCAGACCAGCAAAAACTACGACGTTGGCAGGACTCGAACCTACGCTCCCGAGGGAAACAGATTTCAAGTCTGTCGCGATAACCACTCCGCCACAACGCCAATAATGATAATCGCCACCCAAATTAACACATTAATATATTAAATTTAATACCTTCGCTGCTGTGAAAAGTGTTGACTCAGGGCTGGCGGGGAGCGGCGTGTAGCGCAGGATAATAGCGTTGAGGACTGGCTTATGTGGGTCTGCGGGGCTGTGCAGAGGCGTGGGGATACGATGCTGAGTGTGTTGTACAGCAGCGACGAGGCCGGAGATACTTGGGTCAGGGGGAGAATGCGAAAAATAAAATAATGGAAAGAAAGAAATTGTTGCTCGTGATTATGCTGGGTATGACTATGCTAGACGCCTCCTGTGCTAACGTCTCGATCTCTAATACCAGAGGAGAGAGCCTTGACTCCCACAGTATAACGCCTGTGTGATCTGTGACTACTGTATCCTCACTTCCTGTCCGCAATGAACGGCTATCACGACATCCCCGCGTTGGCCAACTCCGTTGCAAAATCCAAATCCATATCCATATCGAAGCTAAGCTCATGGTCATCCCATGTCATAGTCGGCGCCAACGCAAGACTCGAAGCGACACCCATCGCGCTCGTGGTCGCGTCCAGCGGGATTGTGGACTCGAAGGCGGAGCTCGCGGCCGGGTCCTGGAACTCGGACGGTAGCTGGTCCCAGCTGGGCAGGTGGAAGTTGTCCATGGCCTTGCTCATGTCCAGATCAGTCGTTGTGCAGATCAGCTCGGTGATGGGCGCCATAGCCATCGCAGAGGCACGGCGGGAAGCGGTAGTCGTAGGAGAGGCAGATGTGGATACAGTCAGGCCGGGATTGCTGAGTGATTGTGTGGAGGAAATGTGGCGCGCGAGCTCGTACATAGCTGTTGTGCCGGAGAGGGAACATTCGAAATGTGCCGCACGGGTGGGATCGTCAACTGAAAGTTTCAGGACATTGAACGCGTGTACGTTGTTGACATTGAAGCTGGGGTCGAATTGAGCGGCGGTGTTGAGACCAAGATCTTCGTAGATCTCGTGCTCTGAGTGGATGCCTGCGCCCATTAGTGCCAGGCCGACCATGTCGGGATTGTCGATGTACGTACCTGGAACTTGGATGCTGTGGTCGATGCCATGGGCTTTCTTGAACAAACTCAGCCACTCTGGGTTATCGGCTGCTGTCTGGTGCCACGGGTCATCTGGCTCGCCATATAGAATGATTCTAGCCTCTTTTTGTAGCATCTCGTCGCTGATTGTCCGTGCTCCGTACTTCTCGATGTATTGACGAGCGAATCGGCCCAGGCGCAGTGTCAGAAATTCCCAGCAAGTAGCACGAGGATGGCCATCTGGCGACTTGGAAGACGAATAGTTCTGAGTCGTAGTGTTCCGACGTACGATAGGGTCTGCGTTCTGACCACCACCCTGGTAGGTATCTGATAGGTTCGTTGTATTGGGCAGCAGGTACTCCAAGTCTTGGCTTTCGAGCAGAACTGTCATGTTCTGTGCATCAATTAGTATTGTCGATTTATTCGTACATGTCTCATCTGGGGATCTTACATTGCAACTGTTGTTGTCGGTCGCCGAGAATGGGAATGGAGACTTGCTCTCGTTCGCAATGAGGTACGGAGGCATGGCATTGGTGACGTGGATAGCCACTGAAGCGTCAAAACCACGACAGCCCTTCCAGTCCTTCATGTCAGCGCCGCTGCGGAACTCCTTCGACAGGTGATCGACTCGGTCTTGCCACTTGTCGAACCCCATAGCGCAGAAGCCGCACCTAGATTTGATGTACTGTGCCTCAGACTTCCATGAGTCCATAGCTGGTGTCATCTTAACATCGTGCATCAGTCGCAGATGCTGCCGCAGGTGGTCCTTTCGGTAAAATGTGCGAGACTCCAATCCCTTCTCTTCACACGAGGAGTGGTTGTGAGTTGCGAGATGGTCCTTGGTCGGCTCGAGCTCACCACAATAGACACACTTGCTCTTTCCGGATGTAGTGTCAGCAACGATCTCACCCAAGGGCGCACAAATCCACTTCTCGAGCGACAAGTGGAGGCTCTTCTCGTGTCGCGACCAGTCATACTTGGACTTGAACCGATCGGTACAGAACGTGCATTGGAAGAGACGAGGAACATCCTTTTCCGCGTCCTTGGGCGCCCGAGTCGGGATGCGCCGGCGCCGGCGCCTCTCTTTCGATTTCAAGCTGTTAATCGAACTGAGAGAGTGCCTCGAGCCGTGTGAGTGGGCGGTATTATGAGAGCCAAAAGACCCAGATGACATGTTTGTAAAGCCAGTCTCCAAGGACGACAGGGAAGGTGCCCTAAAGACCGAGAAGCTGTCTGTACTTTTGTTTGACGAGAGGTGCTGATAACTGCTGCTGGTACTAGTGTTCTCAGGCGGGTCAAAGGTTTCCACGGCTTGGGCAATAGCCGTCAGGGGAGCAGGTTCGTTTTCGGGGGGAGAGTGCTTCCATCTTTCGAAGGGATCTGTCGACGCGAGTTAACCTAGAACCTTCTGGTGCTGTAACGCTGGTCCAGCTGTTGCAAAGCTATATCTCGAGCCTACTTGTGCCGCACTCTTTCGACGCAGCTCATTGACACGAAACTTGAAGAACCGACCAGTAGTCATTGTCGAGGCTTGCAGTTGACTAGGTTCAGTGAGGGTATACTTACTCAGAGACTCCCAAGTCCTGCCTGCAGGAATATTGAGGGCTTGTGTGTTTGGTCGAATACTGGGTGACGAGCTTCGCTTTGGTCTCGCCTTCTGCCTTCGCCGAGTGTTCGCCATCCAGTTCGAAATTTGACCTAATGAAAGGCCGGTTCGCTGACCCAATACCTCCTTCTCGTCTTCAGTCGGATACGGACGATCACGGTGTTCGACCATCCAGTCTTTGAGGACCTTGACAGCCGCTCGCGGGAATCGAGCAGCAGCAGCACCCTTCTTAGGGCCGAGGTCTCCGCTCTCATCATCGATGGGTCCAATGTGGCCCTTCGACCTCAATTGCTTTCTACGAGTAAGGCCACCAATCTGGTGAACATCATCTTCACCCACAACATCTAGGGTATCCAAGGCGGTCCTTTGAGTTCGGTAAGGCATCAACTCAGGGTTCGAGAAGCTGCATGGCCTGAATAGATTCCTGCAAGGCGAGCAGCCCGGTGCCCCATCACCGTTGGCATTGTAAATGAAGCACTCAAGTGACTTGGATCGACAGTACTCGCAGGGGTTGGTAGGCTTCTGGTATCCTGGAAGCCAGCTGGAGAAGTCTGTGTTGAACTCTTCGGCCTGGGGGTTGTCGGTTTTAAGGAGAGCGTCAAGGAGTTGACTGCAACTTGTCAGTATCATGACGAGACATGGAAATTCGAGACTCCGATCGCTCATAGATTGCTTCTAATTAGTCTAAAGGTCCGAAAGTGAATCGGAGTAATTGCGTTGACCGAAGTCTAAGGCAATGAGTGATCCATGTATGAAAATTACTCACCTTTCGCTTGTCTGGATCGCTGAAGCATCTTGGCCGGCCTGTTGGTGCGAATCGGACATAGCTGCTTCGCCGAAGTCGAAGAATTGCGCCATGTCGGCGTTCGGAGCAGCATGCATAGTGATCGCCAATCGAGGATGATTTGTCACAGCTTGACAACTGCCGACGAGAAGGAGAACAAAGCGGTAATAAGAACGCCCTTCTCTTGTAGTGAGAAGTTTCAAAGAAGATTACAAGGCGTATATGTAGATTCGAGCGACAAGTGCCTTAGAAGAGGCCTGCTCAGAGTCAGATCGGAGCACACTAGTCGCGCCCAGAGCGGCTAGCGGATGTCAGTTGAAGGGCGCGCAGTTGAACCACGGACCATCAGAATTTGGCGGGGTGCACCAGCTTTCGAGAGGCTAAAGGATCGTGCTGCTGACTCCAGGTGCCAATCACTGACCACTGCGGCTTTGAGGTCAGCGTCGCTAATCATTTCTATTCCTCAGTACGGTATGATCCAAAAAGTCGTGGAGTAGCGGTGCGTAGTATACATACATCATCTATAAGCGCCATTAGAAGCTGCTGGACAGCAAGAACTGCGTTGTTGCGACAGCTACTCGGGTCTCTTCCGACTGCAGACCGTGATCGGAGTGCGCGAGTGCATTGTCGTCCAGACACGGCTGGGCGTGGCGCATTCTAGAAGAAACGAAGCTAGGGACTTATGCCGCATAGACGCAGGTGAGACGGACGCCTGCGAAAGGTGGCCGCAACCATATGCTTTCGCGCTGCATTTGTAAGCGTTCGTTATACCGGTAAGACTTGTAGCGCGCAGATGCACATCGTGAGGAATGGCAGTATTTGGCGAGCGGTTAGCACTGCAAATGATGAGGGGGCACGAACTGTCTTTCTGTCTCACGGAAACAGCGTCCGGTCCCTGGGGTTAATTTCGGTCGACGTTGTGGTCTCTTGGTCTGATGGCATCCTCCGTCTTGTGTATGAAGTGGATGAGAATGTTTTGCTGATGTCAATTGAGCAATGCCTGCTCCCAAACATATCTCTATCAAAGGTAGACACCTCGAGCTCATTGAGTGCTGTGTAAGCAGAACATGACTTATGTGTCGAATCCAAAGCGAGAGTTACAAGCTTGCACTCATTAACAACCGCTCCTCGCTATGCTTCGCTCAAGACGAGGAGACATGCTCCAGATACACACAAAAAAGCAAGAAACAGGCCAACGCCAACCATGCAAAACCATGAGCCATCTACCGCCATCCACCCGGCACAGGCCCTCCATACCCCGGACGCTGTGACGGCGGACTCGGCACCTCCGGCGGCGCCCACATCATCCTCTCCATCCTGCCCATCCCCGCGCTATCCCTCCTCTTCTTCTTCTTCGGCTTCTCACTCCCGACCCTACTCACCTCCGGTGCCGGGATATATCCTCTATCCTGGTACCCGGCGGCCGCAAACGGCGGCTCGATGACCTTCCGGCTATCCTCGCCCGGCAGTTTCAGATCGACCAGACTGTAGAAATAATCAAGCACCTCCGGGTACCGCAGCACCGACGCGCGCCAATCGAGATCAATGCCGCGCTTGAACTCAGCGTGGGCCTCGGCGATTTGCGACTGCAGCTGTGCGATGGCGAGCGGATGGATGGGCGGCGCGCCCGAGAAGCGCATGTAGACGTCGTAGTGCGGCAGGGAGTTCAAGTATGCGGTTTGCGCGTGCTGGCGGATGCTGCTCAGGCGCTGGAAGGCGAGTTGGATGTGGTGCCGGGCGTGGAAGAGGACCCATTCGCTGCAGAGGCGTCAGCACGTCCTACAGTGCGCAGCATTTGATGCTGGGATGTTGGTAGTGTGGGGCCGTAGGGTACGTACCGTGTGTCGGCGAGACGACTGTCCATGGCGCGGCTCTCGGCCTGGTCGAGTGCGATCTGCAGCCGCTCGGACTCGCAGTGGCAGCCGGCGTGGTTGGGGGCGCTACATATTGCGCAGCTGGGCTCGGCATCCATGGTCATGGCCTCTTCAGAGCAGCGCCTTGTGCATGGCCACAGCCCAGCTATATAGCGGGCGGCAGGGGGAGTTGGAGGTAAGAGCGTAGTTAGTTGCGATGTGGGCGAGGCTGGCGATCAGGCACAGGCGGTGACAAGTGCATGTTGCATGACGACGTTGGGAGGGACAGCGTACAAAGGGCTAGCTTTGTGCGGCTTATGGGATGGGGCATGTGTGGTGATGCGGAGTGAGTTGGCACCGGCATCGAGCTCCACACCGATGCGGCCCTGGAAGCACCGATGCTGGGGCTGGACTGGCCGCCGCCAACATGGATTGATAGAAATACCTTTCCCTCTGCGCGGTGAGTTTGGATCTAGGTTTTCTGGTCATCATTGAATCAGTCCATCGCGATTCGCTTGGTGTTGTACAATGCCATCGTTGCACAGCTACCCCGCATTTGGGTTGCCAATCGACAAGGCTGCCGGCACCACCTGCACTATCACGCTAAAACCCGCCGCCAAAATCCGGCCGTCTGTGCATTGCTTGGTAGGAACTTTCGATGCTTGAAGCTCGACACACCACACACCACACACCAACACCCAAGACATACCACCTGTACACGCCTCACCAAGCACAAATACTCATCGGCAACCGCATAAAACTCGATCCCACCAACCAGTCCACTCGAACACCGTGGTCCCAGGCCGCCCACCAACACCATGAGCAAAGCAGGCGCATACGGCAGTTCTGGTGGCGGCGGCGACACCGACTTCCGCAAGACATGGGACCGGGAAGAGATGGCCGTGAAGGCCAAAGAGCGCGAGGCAAAAGAGCGCGAAGAGGCAAAGGAGCGCTACGAAGCCAAAGCAGCGGGCAAGACCTACCGCCGCCGCGCGTCAACGCCCGAAGACCTGCGCCACACCGAAGCGCGCTCGGAGCGCATCGACTGGAGCAAGATGGTCGGAAAGCAGACGCTGACTTCTGCTGCGGCGGCGGTCGGCAAGCGGGGGAAGGGCGCGGGCGCGTATTGCGCTGCGTGCGATCTGACGTTTAAAGATAATATTCAGTACATTGAACACTTGAATAGCAAACAGCATCTTGTAGCTACAGGGCAGAGCGGGGAGGTGAAGAGGGCGACGCTGGAGGATGTCAGAGAGCGGTTGCGGTACTTGAAACGCAAAGCGGACGAGGCGAAGCGAGATGAGGTCGTCGACGTGGATGCGCGGTTGGCGCTGGGGAGGGAGAAGATGGAGGCAGAGGCTGAGGAGAGGCGGCGGAAGAGGAACGAGAAGAGGCGGGCGAAGAAGAAGGGGGATGATAACGCTATGCAGTGGACGGGCGTGGGAGATGGGGTCATTGCTTGAGCTGGGCGAGGAAGACACTTCCTTTGCAACCATCATCTGGTCAGCAACACCGAAGCTGTGTAATGAAACACATATCCAGGGGCTTCGTGATGCATCAGGCCGTCCGTAATAACATCACCGCCTAAGTCCAAGACGGCCTAGGTAAGATGGACGAAATGGATGCGCAGAATACTGCACAGCCCATGTCAGGAAGCTGGAAAGCTGGTGCTTTCGAGTCCGCGACCTGGTCTACCAATCTAGAGAGCGTGCCTGGCGGTAAGGATACCAAGTCTAGGCAGAGTCGCAGCTCTACCACCATCTGAGAGTTCCGTCAAAGCTTGCTCAAATCATGAGGGCTGCTCAAGTCTGCGCATCGAAGCTGCCTCGTACCCATTTGCGAAAGACGATTAGATAGGAGGACTCCGGCTGCGCACGGGCGAAAAGGCCCCGAGTCGGAGCCAGCCATACCCTTACCCACCCAGGTATTGCATCAGAGCAGAGTGAGATTGCATGCCGCGTTGATTTCTAAGCTAGGCTCCGTCCGAGGTGGGGGAGCTTCCTATCTAAAACCTACAAATAACGCCACCTTCTTAACATCGTACGCGCTCTGGGTCTTGACTGCACACTTTCATAGTACCCGTATTGCCTGGTCATCACTAGTCATTCCCCGCACCCACCCGATAGCTTCCTGACTCGCCACTTCCCGACGTCAACATGGGCAGCACCGCCGACAAAATCACCCTTTACACCAACCACCGCTGTCCGTGGGCGCACCGCGCACACATCGTAGTCAAGGAACTTGGTCTCAAGTACGAAGAAGTCATCATCGACCTCGACAGGCCACGCGAGCCATGGTACCTTGAAGTGAACCCTGTGCGTCCCCCCTTAGCCTCGCCCCATACCCCTAGAGCTTTCGCAAGTTAGTATGCTGACTGTCTATGCAGCGCGGTCTCGTCCCCGCGATCAAGTTCAATGACCAAATCGTCACCGAATCCGGTGTCGTCGCCCGCTTCCTTGCTGATGCATACCCATCCCACCTCATCCCCGCCACCGGCACCGTCGACGCTGCGCTGACACGCGCACGCATCAACTTCTTCGTCGATACCTGGTTTGACAAAGTCGGATCATACTGGTTCCAGATCCTGCGCGCTGAAGATGCCAAGAAGGAGGAGCTGGTGAAGGAGTTCGTGGAGAAGATAGAGAAGGAGATTGAGCCGCTGCTCAAGGACGCGAGTCCATTCTTTGGAGGCAGTAAGAAGGTGACGCTTGCGGAAGCGTTGACGGCGCCCTTCATTCTGAGGGTTTATTCGTTCTCAAAAAATGGGCTGCTGCCGAGGAGTGTGCTAGAGGGGCTCGAGAAGCTGCCTAACTTCAGCAAGTGGGCACAGGCGGTCAATGAGGAGGAGAGTGTGACATATATCTGGAACGCGGATGAGGTCATCTCAGCGACGAAGAAGAAGATTGAGAGCCTGAAAGCGGCGGCTAAGTAAGCTAGCTGAAGATGGTACGTTATAATGACAGTCCTTCGTATTTGTTAATTTGCCAGTGAAGAAATGATCTAAATACATGTGCGAAAAGGGTATACAGCCGGGCCAAATGCTTTTCGTAAATATGATCGTTGTGATGCTGATCCAGGGCCAATCCACCCAACAACAGCGCAGGAACACGCTTGGAATGCGATAAGTACAAGGGTATGGGCTACATGCTATGAAGACGCTGCGATGTCTCCTCAGCATGAAAAGCAAGCGAGACTACCGAACTGATGCAAGCGAAGCGAGTGTGCCAACGATGTATGCTGAAGGACGAAAATGCCAACCAAAGGACGGACAAAAGACTAGTTATGGATGCTGAAGAGACAGAGTAAGAGGTGCGTAGCTCTCAAATTAGACGCTCAAGATCGGAAGCTTGAGATGGGAGGAGGAGCCACGCTGGTGTTTGTTGACGTGCGTCATCGCCCGTCCGGAGGGAGGCGAGATGCATCTAGTACCAGGAGTTGCGACGAGTACGCTTGGCTTCTGGTAGAGCAGCTTTGTTGCATGTCACAGCGCCCATGGACATCAGAGTCTCAGCCACCTCGAGAGTTCGAGGAGAGTGAGTCGCAGCCTCTTCCGCTTTCTGCGTGGTGGTTTGCACCTCCTCTTGCGGACTGTCGAATCGTACGATATGCGCGTTACTGTCGCTGTATGCGACCTTGGAGTGCGTGCGCTTTGTTCGGAATCTCCCAGAGTATGTGTCCTCTGGAGAAGGGGTCGGCAGTAACAGTGGCGGTGGGACGTACTGAACGACTGGCGATGAGAAGGTTGACGAAAAGGTAGGCGACCCGGCTCCGTTCACTGAAGTGAACCCACTAGGACTGTACTGACTTCGTGGTGAGAGGTGACGAGAGAAGCCAAGCCTGCTGTTGTGTTCGATGTCCGTGCCGTAGCCGCTCTCCTGGCCCGGCGAATAGGCACCTAGCTTCCACACCGGCGAAGAGAAGACTGGCCTCACAGATGTTGTGACAGGCGACGGCGCCTTCGGCGGTGACAAGAGTTGATATGACGTTCCCTCTTCCTTGAACCGGGCCGTCTCTGAAGCACAAAATCGGACAGTATCGGGACTGATCACGAATTTGGCAAGGCTGCGGTCGTGTGGAGGCCGGCACATCTGAGGGAAGTCGTTGCCGAAGACCGGTGTCAATGCCCAACGAATGTCCCAGCAGAAGGTCGCTGCAATCTCACGGGCGGCTTGCCACGGCACCCAATAGCCTGCAACATGTCAGTACGCGGTTTGTAAGAGCAGATAGCAGCGCAGACCTTGACAGACCAGGGCCCCGCCGGTGATACTGTAGCTGATGTCCTTCAAGCCCGGATTCTGGTTCAGTGACTTCGCTGGTACGGTCTGCAATGGTTAGCATCGATACGAAGAACTGCACTTGACGACAGACCTTCGAATACTTGCACGACTTGAAGAAAGGTGTCATTCGGACGAGGCCAATGTTGTAGTCCCACACGACGACGTACTCCTTGTCCTCGCCAGGTCTCTTGTACGTATACTGGCAGACTGCGGGTCGGCTTGTCAGCTCAATGTCACCGTGATCAAGTAGTCACAACTTACCTTCGAAAGCGTCGCGGCCAGTTTTGTTGAGAAAGTCCTTCTTGTCGCTGGCGTAAGGGATGTGTCGCACGCCTTTCCTCAGGATCTCACCAAGTGGGAAGACACGAAACTCGCGATGGCAAGCTTGGAGATCACGGTTGTTGCCAGCCTCATGCGGTGGGTAGTTAACATAACCTACGGTCTTGGTGCCTTCAGAGAAGACTGGAGCATCTTTCGCCAGCTTTTGTCTCCTTAAAATGGCACCATGCGCGGGGTAATGCTGTGCAAGCTGAGCGTATCGAGGGCCTGTGTTGCGATTCTGGCGACTGTTACCACTGGGGGAGTTGAGAAGAGATTGGATGTTCATGACTTGAAACAATATCCCTTGTCTCAGTGCAATGAGGGGACGATGTTACAGAGCAAGGCCTGTGTGAAGTGGTCTGGGGAGGAGTCGTTTGTATCGTGGCCACGAGGTCGAGACAGCGATTCTCTACGATCAAGCGGAGGTGCGACCGAACGCAACCTCGTTGGCTGTCTACAACAGCTGGTCACAATCAATACTGGATGGATACAACGACGCTCAACATACGTACACTGTTCGGAGACGATAGCACTGTGCAGTACCTGTACCGGATCGGGTACAGTATCAGTGGCAAAGCGTGCACACCACGTTGGTATCGATACAAGCTGGCACCGGCCGGCAAACGGCAGGTTTCCGTGATGATGGAGACCTTTTTGCAGGACGTTATGAGTGGCTTCGCTTCGCTTGGGTCTATGTCTCGACTAGCTATTGGCTGTGGATTCTTGTGAGAGCTAGGTCAGTGTGTATTCACCCCGCAATGAGATATGGAAAAGGCTTACGTGGACCCAGCAATGAAGAAAATCGACTACGGTTTGACTTACAGAGGGTCGAGGTCTAGAGCAGCGAGAGCAAGAAACCAAGGCAAGGACTCGCGATGGTTACAGGCCCTCTTATGAAGCGAAGCATGGCTCCTCTGGACGCGCTAAACACGCACCCAAGCGCTGTGCAGGACGCGTCCGGTGTGCATGCGCGCAAGGATGCTCAATGGCGCACACTGAGAGGCTTGACAGCCCTCTATCCGTTTCTCTTTCATTGGATCAAGCGTTGCTAGTGGCAGCAAGCACTACTCAAAGATCAGTGCAGAGTTACAGAAAGGCTTCGAAGGATTTGTGTAGCACAGCATCAAACGCTCATGCAGCCTGAACCATGCGCGTTGCCTACCTCCTCTTCCGCACCGCCATTGTCCACCATATCCGGGGCCTAGACAACCAAAACAACCCCACCGGAGGCGCTTGCGAGCTCACTGAAAGCACTGCCAGCAATTGCGGATCCCGAACTTCTGCAGCAATTATTTGGCGCTGGTATCAACTGTCGAAGAATTACAACATTTCACTGAAAAGCAGCGAAGCAATCTTGGATGCTGGGATTGCTTTGATCGGGACTTGCATTGTGGAAGTGATCGACGACATTCAAGGTGACGACAGCAGCTATCTGCACTCCGCACGATCGCCTACATCAGAGTCGTGCTACCTGTCACCTGTCACAGCTTCGCTCGCTCAACATGCCAGACCTGGTCGCCCTGTCACTTCCTGTCACTACGAGCGAATTGGTGTTGACGCCTGTAGCCATCCGACGTTGTACAAGCTCCGTTCCACATAACGGAACGTGGGTAACCCTGCCGAGAATCCTTTCTGAGCGACAGAACGGGTAGCTGCGTAATTGAGGAGGACTCCTGCAAACGACTGATTTCATTCATTCTCGATCATGGATGATACTCGATAGCCGCTGCTTGACACAGACGCTGCGTACCCCTCAATAAACTTGCGAGAAAGTGAGGGTATTCTATGGTATCGATGCTTGCGGTTGAAATATACCAGTTTTGGTCGCAATGTGGTTGGTCGGCTTTTGCGTCCAGCATTTGCTTAAGCAAAAACTTACTGGATGGTCAAGACAAAGAATTCGGCTACTTCCACACAGCAGCATCTCGCAAGAGCATGTCACACTTTGAAAGACGGCAACATGTCCTAGTCTGGCCGCTCTCCTATTTCGAAAGCAAAGCTGCGGCCTAAGCCGCTACGGTCTGCCATTGCAGGGGTGAAGTGGCGTGTCGATGTGCTTCTAGGACTGCAGTTCACAAACCTGTCCCGTAGATAGCAAGTTCAAACTCTTTACAGACCCACATCGAGGAGTTGCTGCCACTGCATTGCACCGGCGGTGGGAGACTGTAACAGCTCAGAACTCCGCTATGGAGAAGGACGCGGACTTGGCGTTACCCGACATGGCGTCGTCTGTATGATACTTATCTATTGGTCGAGTGCCTATGCATCTTTGCCGATGCTGGTAGCATGCACGACGCCGGAGGAGGTGAGGATATGCACATCTCGCGGCGGCAGATCTTTGCCGCCTGCCGGATGTTCCACGACGCCGGGACTTTGGTACCACGCCCCACTCGACGTAGGTAAGCTCGCAAGGGTGTCCATACCTGACATATGGTTTCTCTCTGCAAGTCGTAGACTGACAATGTAAAGGCCTAATAATGATACAAACCTGCCCTCGGGGTACGGCTTTGCGCCTTGACGACCCGGCCCGACCGCCACTTCATTATTTTGGAGAGGCTCAGCAGAGCAAACATGGCGAGCAGGTTACTCGGCTACTCTGGTCGCTGGTTCATTCAGTTTCAGGGTCATCTCGCTTCTACGCCCTGCGCTCAAATGCGAGTGGGCGCCTAGCTCCGTTTGACACTCCAAATGCACTACGCGACCGCAATGTACTCCAGATAACAGACGGACACAATGGAAATATTCTGGCTGCTATCGTCTCCAAGACCAATGGTTAATGTCTCTCGGCGCGTGTAAACCTACCGGATCGACCCGTCGTCGGTCAATGCAACTTCACTGGAACTGAGCTCCACTTACGCGAAGTCTGCAAGCAAATCCCCTGCAGGATCAGCTGGTCGGATCTTGGGCGGCGAAAGATGGGATATCCCAGCAGAAAGGCAAGCTACCGATGCCATTGCTCTGCTAACCGTGCGGTGCTGACTTTCTAGCAGATCTTCCATGTCGGCATTCTAAATGCCTAGTCCTGCTGTCTACTATTGTGAACCCTGAAGGAATCCTCATGTCGATTTTCTCTAGACCATATACCGCTTCTCTGATTAGTAGCCTACGGTCTTACTGTAAAGGCTTTTGCAGACAATACACGCAGGCCACGTTGTGCTTCTATACCCACATCACACTCGACGCTCATTTGACGCGCGACAACTGGCAGCATAACTAATACTGCTTACTATGAAGGTTGTCTCTCATACGCTGACGCCACACGGCAGCAATCACATCTCATTGTATCAGTGCGCTCCGCCCGAGCGTCCACGCCAATGTGACTACCTCGCCAGTCCAACGCACTGCATGCAACGGACATTTCAGTCTTCATGACGGACAAGGTGTGAAACAGCATCACGAGGAGCGTTACGTCAAGCGGTTGTACACGGGGTACGGACTACTAAACCCTGCTGCGTTCCTGGCGGGCACTGTGCGCGTGTCCACCGAATTTCACTGACAACGGAGGCGATGGTTATTCTGCTACAATGACAGCGGGTCCTTGCATAAGTGTCTTCGCAATACCACGATTTGCAAGTGCGCTCGTCTGCCGGCAATCCAGGAATTGTGATAATCCCATGGTGGACAATGACGAGCTCACACAGTATTGGACGCAAGTACGAGAGACTATAGACCCACTGTCTGCGACCTAATCGTGGATCGGTGGTAGGCCTCAACTGACAGTTGCGTGTTTACTGTCAAGGTCTGTGGCTTTTTTGACATTGTTGGACGAACCGTGTCAGCACTGTTATCAAGAACTGAATCCAGTACCAAGCCAGGCCTTTCCAGGGTCGACTGTCGAAGATTGCAATACTCGCACCGCGTATAGGCTGGCCGATTTCGACAAGAAGCACATGTACGACCACCAGTCATCCTCTCCACAGCATGCACGACCCCAGTACAACAGCGCCCAACAGGTCGCTGATCAACTCCACCCATCTTCTCTTTCCAAGAATAGAGCTCTCTTCGGCGCACTCTTTTTCGCAAGGCCAGTCCCGCTGATCAACGCTAATATAGCGCCCGGCGTAAGGCTGCTTGCACGTTGACGGCCCGGACAGCATCTCACACGGTGCAAACAGTGCATCTGTCGGCCACTGACTCTCAAGCCAACAGTTCGCTCAAATTTGAATGCGATCGTACATCGTCCTTGGCGATGTGCCTCAGACAGGGCTGTTGGGTCAGATGCGCCAAAGAGGGACAAAGGGTGCGCATGGTGTGACGTGGGCGTTGTTCTGACAGCTTGACAGGTGCTACGGTACGAGGATATCTATAGGCTCCACAACTATATATGAGGATCAGGGTGAGTACACGTCGGCCTCACTTTCTCCGCTCCAGGACGCCGACACTGCTACACATACTACGCTGCTACATCTCGCCAATGCGACTTGCGACGCAAGGGGAGCACATCTCCATTATACATGGGGCTGGAAATCTGCCTTGCGCTCTTTTCAATGTACAATGTCCAACACGTTGGTTGTGCAGAGACATATTGTAACAAATACCCACTGTATACTATTTCAAGGCATCTACGATAATTTCAAGAGACCAATGAATCCACTTTGATAGACTTAAAATGTGCAGACTGCGCCCTCATCATGCTTGTACACCCATGCCAAGCTGCATGCGCTCTCGAGCTACTACAATTGCCATGCCGGCAGCGGCGGACGCAATTCTGTTGCGCTCCATCAATAATTCGCTCATTACAACTGCATCGAGTGGTAACTACTTCACTGTGTGAATATAATCAGGCAGCGAATTCCGGTGCGTATCGATGTAAGTTTGTAGGGCGAGAGTAGAACTTCGGGCAGAAGACCAAAACACAACAGCCGCGATCTTTGCAGAATGCGGGGTAGCAAAGCATCGTAAAGTTCCCTCTCTTCTTTTGCAGAAGCCCTTAATTTGTCAGATGAGATGAATCATTTTAAGCAGGAATCTTCATGTCGGTCTTTTTCATACTGAATCGGAGTGGAGAACTGCAGGTTGGCGTTTGAGTCGCAAAAAAACAGCTTAGCATCTTGCGTGCGGTAGTCTGGAACAGACTCTACACAAGGTAGTAAAATTTGTTCCCAGTGTCGCTTCACGAGTGAAATAAAGCTGAGGAGAAGACGATGCGCCACTGTCTCGGCTGATTATTAAGCTGACAAGCCATTTAAACGATAGTAACCTATAGCGCGTGTGTTTTCAATAAGTGGGGCACAGCAGTAGTAGCCAGTATGATCACTACGCTGTCATCTTTAATCTACGAGTCTCCAGAACAGAAGCCTGAGCGCATAGTGAGGTCATTGTTCCACTCTTCGCGTGAGATACAGGTGGACATGGCAACAAGCCTTGCTCGTTTTCGCAGAGAGTATTATCGATGTAGAACATATGACAAGATACCGATGGCAAATTGTGCGTCTTACCGTGGCCTGGAGCACGTCAATAGGTGTAACTGCGTGAGCAGTGTCGGTTGGAGACTGTGACCAACAATTGTATTGCTATCCGTTGTGTTGTGTCTAGGAGCTCTCGCTCAGAGGTAAGTGCACATGCCCACCGGGCAGTGCCTGCTACAATAGGATATCATGTGACTTCAGCCACGTGGTTATAATAGGCATACAACACCGTAGCGGACATGTATATGCGTGTAGAAGTCCCTCAATCATCACATGCTCCGGAAGCGCTACCAGTCATAGCAACATCTCCATGACATTTTTGAAAACCGACGCCAGCATCATAGTTCGATTGTTGTAGCTTTTTCGAAAACTCGGCAGGCAGAATAATTGGACAGTGTCCAAGGGATTTTGGAGAGTTGATTAAGAACTATGCAAAGAGACAAAGAACGATGGAATGCATGCTGGTATTTATGCATCAGATGGGGGTCGAAAAGCATACCGGTGTCGTTTTCATCACGCTTTTTCGGCAAACCCGCAGCTCTCTCACAGTCGCGGAGAGTCTACAAGGGCAACATGAGCAAAGCGAAGTCATCTGCCCTCTTGTACTCCGAGTTCTGGCGAAATCCGGCTTGAACATATCGTAGTCTTGGCTACTGATTTTGTTCGAGGCCAAGACATCATTAGTCTCCTCTGCGGAATTCGACTTTGTTGCAATAGAAGAATGATCAAAGTTGTCCAGCATCGCTTGCATCCTTGCAGCTTTTCAAACATTGCAAATAACGCAGATTTACAGAGTCAAAAAACCTTTCGAGCTCCAGGACAGAGTGAGAGAAGAAGACATCCGTCTCGAGACGCAGGTTGCCGATCTTGGTCTTTCGTTGAAAGTAGACGTGCAAACGGACACATTCGCCGACTTGTCGCGGATTTTGTGCAAGGCAGACGGCAGGCATAGCGTGAGGGTATATGGGCTTCCGCAACCCGAGTTAGACATGTGAGACGGGGGCGGAAGTTCTGGAAGGACTTGCGCAGACGGTATGCAGGAAGTCCCATTGTTGGAACATGCACGTCACGCAATCCTTCGAAATGGGATGAGAGGTATAAGTAGATCTTGCATCTCGATGTGAGATATAGACGTAAATATACTGCTTGAAAGAAAATTTCAACGCCGCTTGTTCCATTGGAACGTCCATTATACACATGACTGAAAGTAAGGGAAGTGATGGAGAGCCATCATAGTCAAAACGCCACCGGGTACTCCGCTCAAGCACCAGCATCCTGTGCACCTCCCAATGTCCGTATGTTCAACGTCTACTCGCTGTCATCGTCAAAGCTTGCCTCGCTTGCCTCATCTTCATCGTCGTCATCACTGACCACATACTTCGCCGGCTTAGCAGCGGCCCTTCGTCCGGGACGAGCAGCGGGAGCGCGGCTCGTAGCCTTGGGTTTGGGTGTTGGCTCGTCATCGTCGTCAGATAAGATCTCGTTGGCCAAGGTATCAGCATCTTCCATCTCCTCATCCGACTCGATGACTGCGGGCTTCTTCGCAGGCGCAGCCTTTGGCTTCGGTGCACCGGCAGAGCTGTCCAGCTTATCCAGTCGCTTGGCGTAGGCCTTTGCTGCTGGGCTCAGAGCAATGCTCTTTTTAGTGACAGCAGCTGTAAGAGCCTTTGCCTTCGGTGCAGACTTGGCTTTAGCGGTGGCTTTGGTGAGCTTAGACGCCGCAGGCTTAGACTTGACAAGGCTGAAGTCGTCTTCCGAATCTGACAGCATCGTGTCGTTCACGTTGCGTGGCGCGGGCTTTCTAGGCGACGCGACAGGCATCAGTGCTTCGTAGTTGGTTGTGTCACCCTCGTCGATGTCAATAACGGAAGGACTGGCTTTCTTGGCGACCTTGGGCATGCCTGAGCTGCTACCGGGGCGTGTGGAGGTCTTGAATAGGGGAACACCGTTGGTTGTGCCACCAATGGACTTGACCATGGTGCTAACATCGCCGAGGTCATCATCGCCATCAGAGTCGGTGTCCACACTGTACTTCGAGACTGGTTTCGCCGCTGCAGCGCGAGGAGCCCGGCCATTGGTCTTGGGCGCAAGTGCGGGCTTTCTAGATTCCTCCTTGCCAACAACAGCGAAGACATCAGACTCATCGTCATCGTCAGAGATAACAGGAGTGGGCTTCTTCGCCGCAGTAGAGCGACCGCTGGGTTTAGCGACAGGTTTCGAGGGCGGTGCAGGATCTGGCTCAGCGGGACTTGATGGCCCGTCGGTCTGGGGAGGCGATTCCTTTTTGACATCAGTCTTAAGATGCGAAAGCAGATTAGTTTGCATCGACTTCTGTGGGGCTTTCGAACCGAATGTCGACTTTGCGGGGAGTGCGGGAGATGGCTCCTTCGATGGTGCATCTGCCTCGCGCAGGTAGCTGAGTAGGCCGTCCTTCTTCGGCTTGGTCTTCTTCTTAGAAGGACCAAAGTCAGAGCCAGAGTCGTCGTCCGAGTCACTGTCACCCATCTTCCTCTTTTTTTTGGCCTTGCCGCCCTTGGACGCACCGATGCCAAGCTTATGAGAGGCGCGGCGACCCATGCGCTGGATCTTCTTTGCACGCTCAGCCTCTTCGACGAGCTGTAAGTCCCACTCTTCGACAAAAGCCTCAAGATCGATGTTCCAGAGATCCTTCGGCATGAGCTTGATAAGTGCATCGATCTCGTCCTCTTTATCGCCGATCTGCTTCATGAGCTTCTCGACGCGCTCCTGGGTCAGGGACCAAATGGCCATCTAGTCATAGTCAGAACGTGCTCGTGCAATATTTCGGAAAGGTACTTACGCCTAACAGATAGTCGTAGTCGTTGGCGTTGACGGCAGCATCGCCATCCTCAGACTCTTCTTCGTCCTCCTGAGCATCCTCGACTTCGCCGTTCTTCTTGGCATCGTCAACCTTAGGAAAGGGTGTGAAGCCGAGCTTCTTCAGCTCCTGAACAAGGACAGCTTTCTTCTTCTTCGAAACAATAAGCTTGCCGTCGATGATCATTTTGATAAACTTGGCCTGGTTGCTCATCTTGGTGAGCTCCTTCTGCAAGACATCAAGCTGATGAGCTTTACGCTTCTCGTAGTATCGCAGACGAACGTGGTAAAACTCTTCGATGATGTCCAGCGGAGTAGCGTACTTGTGGATGCGGCCCTGAGCATCGAAAGCAACCAAGTTGGAGCAAGACTGCTGTTTGTAGAGCTTGAAGGTCTCCTCAAGACCCTTCAGCAAAGCGTTAGCCATGTGCTTCTCCTCCATCTTGATGATAACGTGAACCTTGTCGGGAGTGTTGTAGTCGATGTAATCTTTGATGATGGATGGAGTCTTTTCAGCCTTGATGATGTCTTCGAGCTTCTCCTTGAAGTCTTGTGTCCAGTAGCGGACAGGGAGCTCGGTGACCTCGATGTCGTTGCCGACTTGACGAACCGTGCCTGTAAAGCGGAACTTGTCACCACCGAGGTCGTCAGTCGTTCCAGTGAAGCCCTTGTACCAAGGGACCATAGGTTTCATGTCTTCCTTCGACCCGCCGTCTGCCATGCGGAGTCTGATGTTGTCGACGATGTGCAGAGGGTTGAAGTTGGGGATTTCGGAACTCCAACCAGTACCGATACCGCTCGATCCGTTGACGAGAATCATAGGCAAGACTGGAATGTACATCTCAGGCTCGATCTTGTGACCATCGGATTCTCCATACTTCAAAAGAGCATCATCTTGAGCATGGAAGATCTTGCGTGCAAAAGGTGACAAACGAGTGTAGATGTAACGAGCGCTGGCAGCATCGCCACCACCTTGCAGACGAGAACCAAAGTTGCCACTTGGCTCCAAGACGTTGATGTTGTTGGAGCCAACAAAGTTCTGTGCCATACCAACAATGGTGCCCTGCATCGAGGTTTCACCGTGGGCGTAGTCAGTGGAACCAGAGACGGAACCAGCCAGTTCGACGACCTTGACATCCTTGCGAATGTTGCGTCTGAGACAGGTGTAGAGAACCTTTCGCTGACCAGGTTTGAAGCCGTCAATGACTGACGGGATGGAACGCAAGTTATCGGCCATGGAGAAGAGAATGAGCTCCTTGTTGACGAAGTCATCGTAGGTAATCTCGTTAGTGGTGAGATCCAAGTGGTTGCCCGGGACAAAGTCGCGCAACCACTCCTTACGAGCATCAGCTTTCTTTTTCGAGAAAGCCAATTCAATGAGCTTCTCCTCCTCGGCGCGCATGGTGTGAAAACGCTTCATGTGGGTATCAAGGTCCTTGAAGTAGACTTGGGCATCCTTGATGTCGCTGGTACCCAATCCCTTGTAGTACTTATGATCCCAACCTTTCTCGTTCTTGTGTTGCTCCTTCCACTCCTCATATTCAGGCATGGAGAAGAAGCTCTTCAGACTCCTGGGGTTTTTTGGATCTCCCTTCCACACCTTGACGATAGGAGTGATGAACTCGAGCAAGAAGCCAGGAAGCTTCAGCAAGCTAGGGAACTGGCACTGAAGGAAGTTGATGAGCAGACCCTTGATATGGCTACCGTCGTGGTCCTGATCCGTCATGATCATCAGATGCCCATATCGCAGGCTCTTCATGTCAGCCATGGTGTACTCCTTCTTGTGCTGAAGACCTAAAAACTTCTTGATGTTCTGAATCTCGGCATTCTTCATGATCTGATCCATTGAAGCATCTCGGACGTTGAGCAGCTTACCGCGAAGCGGAAAGACACCAAACAGATCCTGGTTGACAACAGCGCGGCCAGCCAAAGCCAGTACACTGGCAGACTCTCCTTCCGTGAGGATCAGTGTGCACAAGTGGCCATCCCTCGTTCCAGCCTTGTTGGCATCGGTGAGCTTGGCGTTACTGATACGATTGCGCTTGTTGCCGTCGGTCTTCTTCATCAATTGGTCTGCCTTCTGTTGGGCAAAGTGCATGATGTTCTGGATGACTTCGGTCTTCTCGATCGCCTTGAGGAACTTATCGCTAAGCACTGGCTTGCTGCCGAATTGACTTGCCTTTGTAGTCAACTGCTCCTTAGTCTGAGATGTGAAAGCTGGGTTGACGATGGAACAGTTGACGAACAGAAATAGGTGGTTCTTGATCTGTGCAGGCTTGAGCTTGACAGCCGCCTTGTTCTTCTTGTTGACGATCGCCATAAGCTTGTCGATGATCTGATCCGCAATGTAGTTGACGTGAGTACCGCCAGAGGTCGTAGCGATCGAGTTGACGAACGACACCTGGTTGAAAGATCCATCTGAGACAGCAAAACCGATGTCCCAACGATCATGCTTATCTGTGATGATGACTTCCTTGCGATCCTCGCCATCTTCAGACTTGCCCTGTTCCCTGGAGATGGACTTGGTGTACATCTCCATGTACTTGGCAAAGCTGGTGACTTTTACGCGGTCGCCATTGAGGTAGACCTTAACTCCACGAAGTGTGCCAGCCATGTCGTGTGTCCTCCTCTTGATCAGCGCCTCGAAATCATCGTCGATCCCGTCCATGCCGAACTTGCTGTAATCGGCTCGCCATGTAATTTTGGTGTAGTCGTCGGACTTGATGTCTGTGATTTTGGCCTTGCCCATCTTACTCATGTTTTCTGTCCATGTCTGCTTGTACTTCTTCTTCTGTTTCGAGTCGACGGTCTCGATTGTGAATTCGCGAGAGAAGACGTTGCAGAGCTTGGCTCCGTAACCGTTGCGACCACCGGTGACCTTCTGCTGATCGTCGTCGTAGTTCGAGGATGTGAGGAGATGACCGAAGATCATCTCTGGGACGTAAATGCCGTGTTGCTGGGAAAGTCAGCGCATTGCCATTCAGCACACGAAAACAACATACCTGGTGAATTTCAACAGGAATACCTTTGCCATCGTTCTTGATCGAGACTTCGCCCGTCTCTCGGTCGACAGTAACGCGGATTTCACTCATGTTCTTGTCGTTCTGCTTGTTGTCCGCAGCGTTGACCAAAATCTCGTCGAATATCTTGTAAAGACCAGGCACGTAGGAAACGTCGCGAAACTCCATGCTCTCAGTCGTCGAGTTGTACACCCACATCTTGTCTGTAGTGCGCTCGACGGAGCCGATATATGTGTCCGGGCGCTTCATGATGTGCTCCAGATGCGAAAGCCGTGCGCATGTTAGCTTCGATGTGCATTGCGCTGAGCCAGTTTGCCTACCATCTGGTACTTGCTAGTTGCGCCGCCAGCAGCCTTCTTTCCCTTGGCAGATGGTGGTGCCTCATCAGCGCCATCCATACCAAAGCTCTCGTTCGCGATATCTGCGAGCGGCTTGCCGCTGCTCTTCTTGGGCGCTGCCGCCTTCTTCGCTTTTGGAGGTGTGTCTTTTAATAATGACTCGTCATCGTCGTCATCGTCTATCGCGCCTTCCATATCGACGTCCGAGTTCTCATTGTCTGAGAAATCCTTGGCCTTCTTCTTTGGCGCTGCCTTCGCTTTTGTTTTCGCTGCTGTTGTACTTGCAGGTTTCGCTCGTGGCTTAGGGGCGGCTGCTGCCTTCTTCGGTGCGGATTTGGCCTTGGGTGCTGCCTTTGCTACTTTTTGAGGCGGCCTGAAGTCAGAGCTTGCGCCCTCGTCGAAGTCGGACCCTGAGTCGGACATGGCGGCGAGGCGTTGTCGACAAGGTCCTGGGGAATGACAGGAACGGTGTGTGAAGAAAAGCGCACAAACGGCAGAATGACAGAAACCTTTAGGGTTAGTAAGTACAAACCCACGCGCAAAGAGTGTCGCAGGGCTGCGAGCGCGGCGTGGAGGCGTTGACGATGCTGTGTTTACATTGGGGGCGCCTACTGTTTTCTATTTGGGGTCCACTTAAGGCGGACTAGCGCGAGCTAGCGATGATCATTATGCGGCGAGTGATGGGTGAAGATGAACATCAAGATCGTGTGCAGCAACAAAAATCAGGCTTTCTACGAGGTTTCATGGTGAAGAAGCAAACACGGGAGCCACAGCTTGTCCTGTGGTGAAGGTCAAGCTGTGCCGCGCGCGGAGGTTGTTTCAGCCGCCGTTCGACAACAAGTCGGAGTCGCTCACGCTGAAGCCCGATATCCTGGGTTCCGGAGCTCGTTAAGATGATCTTAGCCAAACCGCACTACGAGCTTCGTGCTCCTGTTGAGTTCAGCCATGATTGGGTATTGGCTACGTTCGACGCGTCGTGGTGATGTTTCGCGTTTCGCGCCTCTCACCAATCAAAGTACAGCGTCACTGTTAGTTCCACTTTTATGTCTCTGCAAACGGAAGCTGTCGATTCTGCAGCTTGGTCAGGATGATTCATATCCACCTTGATTACACGATATCTAGATATACCATCTCCGCCTGTCCAGCCCCTCCACTCTTCCATCATTGGCCGCCAGTGCTATTGCACCGACAGGCTCGTTCTGACAAACATCTCCAAGTCTGATCGGCATTTCATGCAATACCGTGTCCGTGCACCCAATGCACGGAGTCAACCAATGCACGCTCCGAGCCTGCACGGCCACCGTAAAAGTGAGCCTGTAGAGCCACATACAATAGCTATTATTGTAGGAGCTTTTAGTGATTTAATCTATAGACCTGTGCAACAAAGTTTCTCATACAAAGTTACTGATATTTAGTGGCGGTGCGGCCACTGCGTGTGGTGATAGTTGGGCGTGGCAGAGGAGGCGTCGCAGGCTTGGGGTGACTACGAGCACCCACAGCACGACGCACAGTCTTCTATTTAACTGCAGAAGCTTTTGAGGATGTGCAATTGCCTCTTTAGGATGATTTAAGAGCTTTTGCAGTGTCGCGAGCTTCTTTATACTTACGTCTCTGCTCTTTGCGCGCATCAATAGCTGCGCGTTCCTCTGCACGCTCACGCTCACGCACCTCCTTTGTCTTTGCAGCTACCACACGCTTTTTTTCCTTTAGTTTCTCGTTGTAGATTCTATCAGCAGCAGCTTGCTCCTTTGTCTCTGCCTTTTTTAGCTCCTCCTCTTGCCTCTTGTGGTCTACAACAGCCATGCAAGCACGCGCCTCCTAGAAGGACTAAGGAGACCACATTATCACACCTCTATAATACTCCTAGTGTTGTTGCAGGTCTAATTACCTATTAGGTCGCTTCTTATGCTTCCTGTTTTAGTATAGCTTCTTGCGCAGGCTATCTACTTTAACTTAAAGTAACGTAGATTGTAGTACTTGCGCTTTAACAGCAAGAAACAGACCACGTTAAGTGGCTAGAGGTAGGCTGGCGGAATGGGTATACTCCAACGTCCTTCGTGGGTACCCCCCAAAACCTTATCAATAATACATGGATTCTAGCAAAATAGGGCTTAAAAGAAAGAGAAAAACTACCTCTACATTTCTGTAGTAGAGGGTTTTGTTATAACTATTAAACTGCACAAGCTAGAGGCTAGAAAAGGTTAAAAAAGGGGGGGTACCTAGCAAATATACCTATTAATAGGTATACTTTGCTAGGTAGTGTTAATAACTTAGCTAATACTAG